TCACCGCCGCGGGGGGGTTCGCGCCAGCCAGGGAGGAGACGGAAGCACAGGGTATCACATCGCCGGCGCGGGCAGAGGGGACGTGCTTCCCGGCTCTGTAACCGTATGTTTGATTAACTGTTACGACGTTTTTTCTGGGGGGGGTTCCGGCCCGGTGCTGGGCTCCTCTGGCTGGATGCGCTTCGTTTTATGGCAGGTGAAGGCCTTCTAACAAGCAGAGCTCTCCGCAAGAGTTTTCCGGGGTGAGGCTCAAGCCGCTTTGTTCGTTAGCTTCAGAGGAAACACTTAGCTATAATGACCCAGCCACGATCGCTACTGGCAGCCCCTGGCAAAGGGATTACATCAGCAGAATCTGATCTTACTAATTTCATTTGCGGCATGGAAAGTAAATTTGTTACTACGGGCTAAGAAGTTCTTTTGCCGTTGGAAGTTACTGTTTTCTAAAGTTTTATATAAATCTTTCCACAGTACCTTATGAAACTGCCGGCTATATTTTTTCATTATGTTAAACTACTGTTCCATTCTAAATTACCCTTACAACATGCATTTCTTTGCCTTGCGTTTGACGCCCCAAACCCGTAGAGGTAAATTAAAAACACCTGACACACAATGAACCATAACTAGCAACATACTGATTAAATCTTATTTGTGGGCACAGTATTATACCCACAAAAACTGGGAACGTTTTGTCCCAGTAGTCTCACAAACAAGTACAGAGACCATTTAGTCCATGTTCTTATGAGCCATGTGGTGGATTATTACAAGTAAAGAGCAAATTGTGTAAGACAAGCTCTGTGGATTGTGATCTGCAAGTGCTAGATCTCCCACTGGGAAAGCCTACAATTTTAAGAAAAAAAATCATGGAACCTTAGTAAGCATAGGTATTTCATTTTGTTTTAAACTGAGAAGAAATATTTAGAAGACTCAAAGGGGATCTGAGCAATGTATACAAGTATCTAAAGGGAGGGTGTCAAGAGGATGGGGTCAGACTGTCCTCACTGGTGCCCAGCAACAGGACAAGAGGCAACAGCCACCAACTGAACCACAGGCAGTTCCATCTGAACCTGAAGAAAAACTTCTTTCCTGTGCGGGTGACTGAGCACTGAACAGGTTGCCCAGAGAGGTTGTGGAGTCTCCTTCCCTGGAGATATTCAAAAGCTATCTGGACATGATCCTGTGCAAGGTGCTCTAGAGGACCCCTTCTTGAAAAGGGCAGTTGAACTAGATGATCTCCAGAGGTCCCTTCCAACCTTGGCCATTCTAGGATTCACCATTTAAACCAGTCAGATTAGCAATCACCATGCATGTCTATCACTTACATTTTCATACAATACAGGCAGGTAAATAGTGTGGTGTCTCAGAAAGCCCAGTGCAGGGCTGGTGTATAATAACTTATGCTTTGGATACACAAAACTGGAACAGAAAGAGTGAGTAACATTTATTAAATGGAAAGCATGGTTTGATGAAGACAATACTGATACTGGAGTGAGCTAGTGTCAAATCATTGTGACTAAAACGTGGACCTCACTAGATGTATGACCACCCTACAACTCTGCATTGCTTGTTTTGCCACTATTCTTTGTCATCCCGTTTAATCTTATTTTTCGCTTCAAGGTTATCTAGGAAAAATTCACAATACTGTTAAAAGGATCTGATCTGACACATCAAGATCTATTTTTCTACCCTGCAGTATAATGGGATTTGGCTAACTACAAAAACTCATTTGAATTTTGGTTGTTGCTTTGAAAACATACAGATATTTCAGACTTCTACAAAAGAATTGAAGTATTTTGATGGAAAAGCCATCCTCTCTAGGGGAGGAGGAGGAATGACACTCATAGATTTAATAACTTTCTTTCTCTTTTTCTCCAAGTTCTATGTCACTTACTAAGTGCATCTTCTCTTCAGTTAAGAAAAGTCATCCCAGGAGAAGTATTGCAGGTTTAGGATTGTGCAAATGATGACACCATTTCATCTTGCTGTGGCGTGACACAAATAAAACACGTAAGACCAGATCTTTGGCCAGAGTAATGAGATGCACTATGATCCCCAGACATGGCTGCTTTTGTAGCAGCATAGCAACAGTGTGATGCTCACAGGACATACCCAGCTGAAAAATATTTGATACAATTTTACAGTACTTTTTGTAATCATGCTATGTTGCTTCATGGTTCAGAGATGGAGTTCCTGTAGAACTAGACAAGACTGGAATCATTAAGCTGACACGTGTTTGCGTGCCTTCTGCTAAACTCAGTGATAATAATGCAATTCCTGACAAATTTCGTCATTTTATTCTGGGTACTCTCTTTGAGATTCTTGCTAACTACTAGGTTTGGCTTCAAACCTAACACAAAGTTACATTCTAGTTCTGTTTATGGAGTTAATAAGCAGACGCACATCTGAGCCTAGGAAGGAGCTTTCAGGTGTGATGTGCTTTCAAATGAAAACAGACACGTCTTAGCATAAATCTTAATACTTGCAAGTGGCTTGATTACACGTATATGTGTAGAAATGCCTTTCACTGCAATTTTTTTATTCTGGAAGTGCCAAATGCATAGCTGATAAAAAATAAAGCAATAGCGTTTCATCCACACACAAATCCAGAGATGCTCAACCAGCAAAACCAAGAAAGCCTGCTACAGTAAGAGTTTCCAGCCACTGAAAAAGTGGGGGAAGTTGTTCTTGCCTATTGCCCAGTAGACATATGCCTGACTGGGCAGAATTAAGAAGCAGAAGAAAATGCTAGAGAAATGGAGGAAAACAGCATAAAAGTAGACACAAATGAATTCTAAAAACATGATTCTGGAAAAGCTAGGGTGGCTGAGCTTATATTTACTGGTTAGGCACCTGTCACTGTCACAATGGAAGCACAAAGACTTGTAGGTCATTGGGTACCTATTCTGTTTACACAACAGTGTTAAACTTCTTAATCATTACCTTTACCACTATTATGCAAAACTGCATATACATAGTCATACTCATAAACATTAAATAGATTTAGTTGTCATTTTCTCAAGGTTACAGCATGAGCATGCTGGCTACAAAATCCTGTTATTATGTTACACCTAGGCTGAGGTGAGGCTGATTTCCACCTCTTGGAAGTTAGTCATAAAAGGCAGGACTAATAAATACTGAGACGCTCACTAAAGACCTTTTTTCAGTAAAACGTACTGTATGACATGACATGCTAACATTGCGCCAGAGGAATTCCAGTAATCTACCCAGTGCAAGAACTCATGATTCACTTTAATATGTATTAGAAATGTCAAGTACAAGTAAGTCTGATTATTACAGGAGCTGAGCACCTACAACTCCATTGAAATCAGCTATTGTTCCAAGTCTTTACTGTAGAGAAGAAATTATGCATTTAGCTTCGCAGGCTAAAAGAAGAGAAAACTTGGTGGCAGTTTCACTGCCTTCTTCACACTGAGAAGTGAAAATCCTAAACCTGATAATTAGCAGCCATTCATCTCGACTAAAAGATAGACCAGACCAGATGTAAGATAGAAATAAACATATCCAAGAATCAGATGATAAACCAGGGCATAGAAAATTATTACATAGTTTCTTGGAAATGAAGACAGAGTCTAATATTGTACTCAGAAGTGTTTTGACTGTTTCCTGCTGTGACATTTGATGTCTTTTAATTCATCTTTAACTCCTATTCCCATTAGTATGAAAACAATGCCCTGCAGTGTAATTCTGATATGATTTCCCGTGCTCTAAATATGTTCATACTGATGCATCATTTTACCACACGGTGCTTGCATCACTCCAAGTCTTTGCTTCTCAAAGATTTTCTAACCAATTAATATCCTCTGTGTTTGTAGAATGGATAAACAAACCGTATTTCTCACACTCTGTACTAGTTCCTCTTCTTTCATGTGCTTTATGTGTACATGGATTGTTAAATAAGCACACTGGGAAGGTTCTGCAATTGGCGTGTGTGGTGAACCTCAGGATCCTGGCAACCCTGCAGCGTTTCCTAAAAGGTTCTTCGGACCCTTTGAACAAGCAGCTGCAGATCTATAGACCTTCCCCTATTCTGTAAAGTCTCGTATCCTTGACCTCCTTCTACTCTGACAATATAAAATTCCACAGCTGAGCATTCAACTCCTTATTGGTTGTTTTATTTTTGATATCTCTTGTTCTTTTCCTTGATGTGTAAGTTTAGTGTTGTGCTAGGAGGTGAGAAATGGGGAAGGATCTCTCTTTTGGTTTGCGTTTATTATTTTGAAGCACTAACATTTATTAGTTTCTATGTATTAACTTCTCTCTATTTTCATAGCTCTGAAGTACATTCAGGTAAATCTTGAGGCTAAAGACTGTTTGCAGAACATATTAAGTCAATTGTAAAAACCTACTTTCTCTTCAAAATTCATATTAAAAAGAAATCTAACCTGATTTCTAATAGGCACTTTTGTACAGGAGGGCACAAGAATCCAAGAAACCACTATCCCCAGGAAGGCATAACCCCATAAGGAGACTGTCGTTCCAGTACTATTTTATTTGATTTGATTTTATGACTCTTATTTTAAAGTTTAACCAGCTAAGAAATAATTGATTAGGGACTTACCCCACATGAGAATTGCTTGTATATTGTTTTTCACAATGAGGCTTATGGTGGTGTGTTTTGTTTTGTTTTGTTTTTCTTTTCTCCTCATGTTTCTCTCCCTCCTTACAAATTGAAGTGACCCTTCAATACTGATGTATTTAAAGTGTATATTAAACCAGAGCTCACAGCCAGTATCTATTACATTATTTTTACTTATGAGTTCAGGGATCCATCTTAGATCACAGAAGAGATAGATACTCTTTTAAGAGCCATTTTTACTTTGTTTTATTTTTGCACAGTTGGTTTAAGACATCACCCTTGCCAAACCCTGTGTGAAGAGGGCATTTCGTCACAGTAACACCCAATGGTCTCACGTGGCTGGCAGGAACCAGGTGATACTCTGGGGGATGGAGCTTCATGCAGCCAAGACTTCCGGAGGCTGAAAGCCTTTCTGGACTTACAAAAATGAAACTGTGACCTACCTGTCATGGTTACTATGAAATACAGATGTTGAGGTCATGAAAGAGAGGGAAGTATAATGCTGATCTCCCTAGCTATTTATTTCATGATAAACACTGGAATCACTTTCTCATTTTTTCTTTACTTCTTGTTAATATTAACATAAAAATATGTTGATTTATTTATGTAAGTATCATGGTATCCACAATCAAAGTAGATAATCAGTGTATTTTATTCTAAAATGGTAAAAAATGAATGTGTCAGTTCTTTTTAAATAAGATATAATTACTCTTCCACATAGCATTTTTCTTTCAATTTACTGGCATTTCTGTTAGGAAAAATGTTCTGTTGTAGATTTCCACTCTTGCCACTGGAAAAAAGTAGAGACACATCACACAGCACCATACATTGCTAGATGGTCGTTAACTTATTAACAAATAGCATTTTAAAAATAATGTTCTGAGTTTTATTTGGGAAATATAAGCACTCAGAAGGAATCTTATAAACAAGTTTACTGTTTTTTTCTTTCTCCAGGAGCAGCCTGAAAGGTGGTGGGGACTGCTACAGATATTAATAATAGATATTCATATAGCGAAGGAAGACAACCATGAAGCCAGCTGTAGAAATTCACCTTCCACCTCTGGTACAAACAGAAGTCTGTGCTTACAGGAGAGACTAGCAGAGCACCTGACCCTGTCCTTTTTCTATCCCGGAAGTCAGTACACTGCCACACCTCAGTGCATTAAGGCAGCTCTGTGAAATGATCAGTTAATGTACAGGTACCAGATAAATCACCCAAGAATTATCCCAGAAGCAGCTGAAAATAATTTTAGTCAAAGCTATGCTCATGTGTGTGTATATCCTTATTTATCAATTATATTTTTGCATGAGGTAGAGGTGAAAGCGTTAGCCGCTTCCTGCTGCCCCTATGCAGTACTTCAGAAAAAGGAATTGTTTCATCTAATTACCTTGCAGGCAAAACTGTAATTATTCCATCATCACTGCACACATTGCAAGAGCCATTACGAGACTACAGTTAACTTCTGTGCATGGTATTTCCGAAGGGGGCGACTGTAATGTGGATGCTGAAAGTCTTCTCCACCGCGGCCCCTCAGGATGAGGGCGCTCCCAAAAAGGGGCCGGGCCGCGCTTCCCCTTCGGGGCTCGAACCTCCCAGCGCTTCGCACCTCTCCAGACAAACCCTGCGCCCTCCAAGCAAACACAAAGTAGTGTTGGAGCTTGTTGCTGTGTGAGTTGGATAAGTGACTGTCAGCAAACGCTTGAGCAGGTGCTGCAGGCGCACAGCTGAGAAAACACTAGGTGTGTGCTTCCTAAGGTCCACCCAGCTGTTTATAGGGAGCTTTCCAGTACAGACCCAGTGCAGCTGGCCTGTTGCCTCTCCTTCAAAACAAGAGGCTTGTTTTAAAATTAAGTATCTATTCAGAAAGTACATATGATACATTATAGTGAGTCTTCCCTTACTCCTCACGAGGGAGGCTGTGCCTCTGAAGAGCCTCTCTGCAGTGCTAAGCTAGCTGTCACAGTGATTACTGTATTACAGTGGCACCTGCCCTGGGCAAAGCTCTGTATCTCTACTATAGGTCACGCTCATTTGTGTGTACCGGTTAATAAGGGCTGGTTTTGCTTTCACCTTCTTCCCAAAGTAACCTTAGAAATTTGCATTTGGTCACCAGTACTAGTTGGACAGAGGAGTCTGTAGAGTATAAATACAGTATATAAAGATGTTGGTTCCTACAGCCTGAGACAAAAAACATACCTGTTTTCTCATGTGCTGCTTCTTTGTCAGCCAGTTAGAAGAATCAAAAAGGTGAAATCTTTCAGGAGTCCTTTGCTATCTGTTTCTTCTGTGAATGAATAAAATGATCCAGAAAAGTTCTTACGGAATAGAAAAACTAGTGGCTCAACTAGTTGATCCTTACAGGCCACGTTGATTTAATTGTGTGTTAAACATGTATTTTGGTTAGATAAAAGAATTACATAGTGGAGGAATTCTGCCCAGGCCAGGCCACCTAAGAGGACCTATAACTAAATGTTATAGTAACAATTACATGGTTAGGTCCAGAAAGCAGGCAGTGATACTGATGTAGTAGAAAAATGCAAGAAAGTCATGTTTTTCCAATGGGTCAATGCAACTAAAGTTATTTTTCTGGGATGATGATTGTGTTTCCAAAACACAGCGCCACAAGATAACTGCAACACTCCTAACCTTCTCAGTTGGGAGGCCCTATGTATGTGCTGAGTACTAATAGTTCATGTTAATAATATTTTGATGACCTGAATTCTGTCCCTTTTCCTTGTTCTTGCCAGTAGAGCTTTCATCCCAAGTGGGAAAGGTGGCAGGAAGCTGCTGAGAAGGCTGCATATTTGGAGGACTCTTCATTATGTTGAAGTGGGAGTATAGCTGAATAACATAAAACTCTGGAGAAATGTATGCTGAAGGCAAGGAGATTAATGGCAAGCTGCAAGCTGTCATAACCTAATTCCTACTCTGCAGTGTGGTCAGTGACTCAGCTTTTTTTATGCTCATAAAGGAGGTGCAGCACTTAACTGCTGCAGCAGTTAGAAGCTGTATCAGTCAGTAGTAGTTTCCAGTGACACTTTTTATGCAACTCTCTGCACAGGTAGGCTTCTTGAACAGGTAAGAATACGAGGAGTTAGTGTCTCTGATTGACATAAACATCTTTGAGGTTTTATGGTTTTTTCCATCTTTTCCCCCTTTTTTGCATTATGTGATGAGAAGCTGACAGAAAATGGAATTGCTCTTAAGTTGGTCAGAGTGAGGTAGACAGTAAAGAGCTGTTGGCTTTCTCAACACTCTGGGGATTTCCAAGTTCAGATGCTTTCCAAAACACAATGGTCACTGACTTTTTTTTTTTTTTTTTTTCCTCCTGAGAGTGGCTGAGAATGCAGCAAAGCCTGAGCAACAAAAAGTTACCATTAGGGCAGATTTGTGTCAACACAATGCTTGAGTGAGTCTTTTTAGCAAGGGGGGGGGGGGGGGGGGGGAAGAGAGAGAGAGAGAGAGAAAGGCATGTTGCACCTGCCCCACCACTTGAAAAAGCATTGCCCTCTGAAAGTCTGGGGTGTGGGAAGTAGACGTTGCTTGAATGTTGCCACTGTGCAAGTGTCCCAGCAAATCAGTTTTGTGCAGGAAACAGTTGAGACAGTTACCCTCTGAATGCCAAAAAACATGCAGGTTATTAGATTGTCCAGTGTGTTTCCTCTTTATCTCTGTCCTTCCAGCAATTTCTGCCTTGTTTGGTGTCATCCTTCTGGGAAGGTGCTCTCTGAAGAGCAGCAGTGCTGCTAGGTATGTTGATAAATAAAGTGTGCCAGACCATGTGACAAAACTCAGAGTGCAGCTATTGGGATTGCTCTGGAAATAAGTAAGATTCCTTTCTGTTTTCCCCAGCAGCATGATTTTGAGGCATGGAAGATTACAGTCCTAAAGCTCCTTGGAATCTGTTCCTCTTGGATACTGTTAAAATACTGTTTGTAACTGGTGTTTGCTGGGAATGCAGATTGGGTTTGTGATAGGCTTGCACCGCAGGTCTGGTGGAATCAAAGCTTCTGATCCTGGGAAGGAGGGTAGAACGAGTGCAGCGTATAGTGATTCTGGGCAGCGCGCTAAAGGGGCTAAATGTTTCACCTGCAATCTGGCCAGAATAGGAAGGTTTTGGATGACTTGCTCATGTTTATTCTCATTTCTCTATGGTTGGGAGCTATACCGTGTTCCAGCATATTATTTTTACCCTTTACTTTTCTGTCTGAACTAGGCTCCAAGCAGGTCTCTATTGCTACTGAGTGATAGATACACTGTGCTCTAAATCACGTGTCATCAGGTCCTTTGGATGCTGTAAAAACCTTTCAACATGGGTGTTACTGTTGCTACGTAAATACTGAGCTACCTATAAGGATTTGATACTTTGGCTTTCTACCTTTGTACCTAGCAGGAAGAAGGGTAGCCAAGCACACGTCACCTCATCTCTGCTGACCAAGACTGTTAGCAAAAGAGGACAAGAATGACAGAGGCAACATCTTCTGAAATAACCCATGAGGAAAATAAAACAGCTCCACTAAAGCAAGCTAGATGGGTAAGTGGGGTTGCCTCTCTCTTCTTGTTGATGCTATTGCTAGGCATTAACTAGGATTTAGCATTGCTCGCTCTTGCTGAAGAGAGAAACAGATACGTGTTAGCTCAAGCCCATAAATGAAGAAAAGAAAAGGCGCTCTCTCACTCCTGCTCGTTCACTACAGTCGGAGGGCTGGGAGCTTTTGGTTCTCAAGCCGCTGGACTTGAGAAAGTGGACTGTAATTGATGCTAGCTGGCAGTGATTGAGAAGGGGTTTGGTACTAGTTAAGAACTGGCTGAGCCCTGGTTCCATGTAATGCAGCCCTAGTTTAGTACAACCTGTTCCACTACCAAGTTGGGTGTGTATGTTCAGAAGGGGAGAAGGGAACCGTAGCTGCACCAGAACCTGCCCTGGTCCTTTGCAGAAGCTGAGTGCTCCCATCTGCTGGAGAAATCAGCTGCCTGTGGGGGACAGATGTTGCCATTTTATGCTGTGAGCATGTAATTAACCAAAAGGAATTGTAATGTGGTATGGCCTTGTGGATAGCCACTCGCTGTCAGCCGCAAAAGCGGGCTGATGTGTGAGGGAAGGCGGCCCGGGAGTGAAGGGTGACAGTGAGGCAGGCAGGGGCAGTGCTTGAAAAGGTCACAGTCGCACAGTGCCCCCAGAAGAGGAGAAGAGCAGGTCCAGTGATGCCAGCCAGGGTCAACCAACAGTTCAGTGATCACCAGGCAAGTTGGTAGGAATGAGGCAGGTCTGAGGGAAAGCCAGGAAGTCAGGCTGGCTCATCACGGTAAAAGGCAAAGTACAGTCGTACCTATAGCACAGCTCAGGCAAAGACATTAATGTGTAATTAATTGCACCTGATTAAGTGCAGCTTCCTGAGCCAAGGGGCAGAGGTCTGGGGCAAAGCTTGATTTTTTTTTTTTTTTCCTTTTTTTCCAGCCCTTTCTCCCAGTTTAGCTGTTTTCCCAGAATATAATCCAAGGTTACGCAACTGTGCGGTATTAGAACAGACTTTGACTATAAGCAGCTAAACCTCTGGCAGAGTGGAGTGAAAGATGTTGCAGAACCTGTTTGGGCACTCGGGGCCGTGACACTCATTTCCTTATCTTTCACTTAGCCTGTTCAGGTTTTATTGTATTTGCTGTATGAGCAAACTTCACGTTCTGTCTCATGACCTTCGTGTGAAGCCAGTTTGGCGTCAGTTCTGTGGGGTTTACGCAAGCAGTGCCACCATTAACTTTAGTGGGAGTAATGCTTGAAGAAGGATTGAGGTATTAATTAGCTTAAAAGTGAAATGTGTAACTGCAGGCAATAAATGCATGTTATTATTAGAGCTACAAAACCATGCAGCAGTCAGGCGTAAGATAATGTGGAATTCTGTAATAGATGAATGTGCTCTTTTCCCAAAGCACTGCTTGTTCTATCAAGTCTAAGTTGTTGCTCTCAAGAACAGTTACAGAATCACAGTTAAGTCTGTAGATGTTGTGGTTTTCCGGAAAAGCACTGAAATGTCAACTGATTTTTGACTCATGACAATGGCTGCGGCAGAGAACCTGGAGCAAGATTTTTGGAGTAAGAACTAGTCTGCTTGTTTCAGATGTCCAGTGGTGAGACTATCAGTGCCAAAACCGATAAGTGAATCGCAGCTTAAAGAAAGGAAAATAGTTACTGATAGCCACATCTCCGTACCCTGCATAGTAGAATGCATGAGAGGGTATTGTTACTTTTTTTTCTTCCAATCAAAACAAAAGGAAAAAAGAGCCACCGTAAATGTGAAAGGAAGTTGTTGGCAAGCTAATCATTAGGAAGGTGAAGCCAGTCTGTTAAGAGTTCAGTGAATGCCATGAATATATTTAAACTGCACCGAGAAAGAGTTAGGCCAAGCAAATCTGACAGAGCTTATGTTGATCCTGTTTTGAATACTTAGAGCATCTACTTGTTCTGAACTTCAGTTGGCTTTGGTACTGGGCAGAACTTAATTAGTAGACGCTCCTACGCTACCTTTGTTCTTTGTCACTTCTGTTCCAGCAAGCTGAAAGAGCTCATGAAAATAAAGCAGTTAAGAGGAATAAGGCGATATACTTCTGGGGGGAACTAGCAACTGGACTATTTTTGGAAAGCATAGGCCAATAGGATGAGTGGCTTAACTGTTTATTTCTTTATTAGGTTATGAGGTATTTCATGCCATTGCTAACAACCAAACAATGAGTTTGAGTGTTTGGGTGGCGTTTGCGTTGCATGCTGTTTGTGTTTTGAATTATTAACTTATCTCCTTAAATTGCTTTGATTTTTTTTTTTTGTTGTTGTTCTTCTTGTGAGGTAAAATTCAGTAAGCTAACCCAGGATTATCCTTTCAGCCAATGTTTTATTGCCCCATCTCACAAACTCCAGAAATTGCAAAGATCCGTGAAGAATGCAAAAAGGAAAGTTTCTGGTACAGAGGTGAGTAGTCCAAACTTGTTCTTCTCTCGGTGAGAATGACTGCTTGATGTGTTTATGCAGAACTGGCTGCAAAATGCCTTGTCATTTATTATAATATATTGGATTTGTGTTGGAATATTATTGTGTGTCAGTTCTGTCACCGATGTTTAAATTGAGCAAGGTGCTAGTATAGAAGTAATTGAATTATTTCTGTAATCATTGTAAGTAAAGGTGGCGGAAGGAAGCTCTTAATAGCTTACTGTGAACTCATAGTCATGATTAGAATGCCAACTCTGTGTTCATGAGGTCAGTTATTAAACCAACTGTAGGGATGTTTTATGTTATTACGTACTCCTTCTTGCCTTTGCATGTGTTCAAGAAGTGAGCAGATCAGTGTGTAGGTTTGACAATAAAAACAATAGCAATAGCTATAGCCAAGAAATATCAAGCTAGCAGGATGGCAAGCCTAAGGGCGGAATTCACAGAAGGGATTTTGGGGAGGTTGGCAGGGACTTGTGGAGGTCTAGTCCAACCCCCCTGCTCAAGCAGGCCTAGCTAGAGCAGGTTGCCCAGGGCCATGTCCAGGCGGGTGAATATTTCTGATCTCCACAACCTTTCTGGGCTACCTGTTCCAGTGCTTGCCCACCCTCACATTACAACAGTTTTTTTTCTTATATTTATGTGGAATATTCTGTATTTCCGTTTGTGCCCAGTGCCTGCTATCCTTTCAGTGGCTACCACTGAGAAGACTCTATCTCCATCTTCTTTACTCCCCCTCATCAGGTTTTTATACATGTTGTTAAGATCCCCATTGCCCCCGCCCCCATGCCTTTTCTTGTCTAGGTCAAACAGTGCCATTTTTTTCAGCCTCTCTTTGTATGAGAAGCTCCAGTCGTTTAATCCATCTGTGTGGCCCTTCACTGGAATCGCTCCAGTATGTCCCTGACTTTATTGTAGTTCCTTGTTAACAAAAGGGAACGCCTGCAACAAGAAGAAATGGGAGAACGCAGTCTAGAACTCCCTGTAGAATAACGATTCCCCAAGGAAGATGAGATGGGTTGTTCAGGGAAGGGGAAGTGGGGCTAGTTCTCAGCTCTTCTGTAGGCTGTTGCAGGGAAGCAGGGCGCTGGGGCAGAGCAGACATTGCAACATTCTCCTGACAGCACTGTTTGCTTGCCTTAAAGAAAGGATTGGCCCCTCCCTGATGTTTGAAAGAAGAGTTTAGGTATCCTCTTCTGCAAGACCGCGCATGGTTTGAAATCTGAAATACAGAGGGATTACACCCTGCATTTCCTTCTGTCTGGTTTAGTGGCTTTCCTGCTCAGCACTAGGCTTCTGTAGATTTGTTCTTAGACACCAGCCCTACCCATGCACCGACAGGGGAGCGTGGCTGCCTGGCTTGGGTTTGTGAGATTTATTGGGTGTCGAGGCGCCTAAAGGATTAGATGCTCAGTGTTTTGGAGCCGGATTTGTAAGTCCGTTGCATAATTTTTTTAAATATAAAATAGACATTTGCTGAGGGCAGAAGACCTGAAAGGGGTTTCTGCATTTAATTGGAGCTGCTGTCATCACCAGTTTAGCGATATGGAAGGGAGATATTAAAATTTGGGAAGTTATTACTTATATAATGCATTAGCACCAGATGCCACAACATGCCTTATGGCAGGCAGAGTGTGAACAAATCCTTGCTTTGAAGAGATGGTAGTCTGAAGGAGCAGGTGTAATAGGTGACAAAGACAGCTACTCAGTGTTGGTTTTATGGTGATGGTATAAGAAGAAGAATGTATTTATCCAATAGGTAACAAATTTTGTCTGATAGCAGAGATGTTAACTCTTTTTTTTTATTATTTTTACAGCTCTTCCTTTGTCTCTTGGGAGCATGCTTGTCACCCAGGGCCTAGTCTCAAAAGGTAAATAGACAAAAGTACGTGTTACAAGTACAATTACTTTTAGATGGCTAAGTTAGGAAACTGAGGCTCTAGAATTACTATTGCAATGCATAGGTCCCTGAAGCTTGCTACTTTTTGCAAAGTCAGTACTCTTCTAACTGATCACCAGCATCACTGTTGTAATGATTTGGTCTTTAGCTATGCATTGTCACCTTCATCCCTTTGAAGGAACGTGAGCTAGCAATGGAATTAACGAATTCAAAGACTGGTGGCTAGATTCTGTCGCTGTGACCATGTGTACTGGAGTGGAGTCTTCACTGGGGCTGCCTGTGGGGCAAAGCACCGTAGGATCTGAGCAGGGGCGTCAGAATCTGGTAGCGTAGCTCTAAGTGTTGTGTTCTTTGGGAAATGCTGGCAACGTTTTTACAGTGACCGCGTCCCAATATGAATACAGCTGTGGTGCAAAGGGACAAGGAACACTGCCAAAAGGAGAAGACAGAGAGGTCTTTATTGAGATGACTTGTGGTCTGCAGGGTAAAACAAGAGAGAATTGTATTCTGTTTATGTAGTGAGTGAGCCTGATTCTACTCAGTACACCTCAAGTTTCCCTTCTGGGGATCTTGACTGATGATAGGGTTGAGGATAATGTCTCAGGTGAAGAGTGAAGAACATCTACCCTGAAGACTGCCAAGATGGGTGTATCTCACAGAAGCAAATAAGTCAGAGTCCTCTAGGCTACACGAGCCTGCAGGTGCAGTGAGGGCAGGTGGGAGAGAAGAACAATCACAGGGCTTCCTCTGGAGCAAGAAAGAGAAAAGAATCCAGGGGCTAAAAGGAATGGGTGGCAGGAGACAGCAAACAAAGGAGGTGGGAACGGGGACGGCTCAGACTTTTCTCACTTTGTGTGGTTGCAAGCCCCTTGCTTTGTCACAGGCGCTATTACTCTGTCCTGCCTGATGAAATGTCCTTCTGAAATAAGATGAAGAGGAGGGCTCAAACAGGAAACCGGAAAGCTGTACTACTCTGCAAGGGGCTGATGTGGGTTCCCTGTTGCATCCTTGGCCTAAGGGCTTGTAGGCAAACAGGGGAAGTGAGGGAAGGAACAAGGCTGGAAAGTGTGTGAGGGAAGGCAAGGGGTTACACGTTTTTGAAAAGCGGTGAGTAGTGCTGGGAAGGGCTCTGGGGTTCTCTCAGGAGCTAATATGGCAGGCACCCTTTGGCCCTGGGTACTCAGAAACTGGACATTTCTGACCAGCTGTGAAATAGCAAATGCCTGTTTTCAACAATCACTGTTGTGTCTTAACAATTGCGAAAGGGTGCTGTTTAGAAACAAATGCCAATTTTTTCTTCTCCCTCCCCCGCCCCCCCCCCCCCCCCCCCCCGGTCTGAGACAAGAAAAGGAGAGCACTGGATTACAGTAAAAAAAAGACTCCATGCAACATATTTACAGATTGTTACAACTGTTCAGCCTGCTCAGCCTAGTGGAGGTACTCACAGCAGAGGCCCTCAGTCCTATCCCAAATCCTTCACTTGCTGTCTCCACATTAAACACCTCACTGAGCCTCCTGGCAGCAGGAGGCTGGATCTATTACACTCAAGCCCTAATAAACTAGTCTCTTTTTAACACTCTTCACTTTCTAAAACCAAGTCTTACTGCTTCCTCACTCCTTAATGCCAACAGAAGGAACAGGAGACTTGCAGAGACGGAGCAACCATAACATGACGAGGTCCAGCATGCTCAGCCCTCTGCATGCATTGTTCCATGCAGCACCTTTCCGTACCCCAAGAGAAGCAGGCTCTGGATAAGGAGAGGGCACTCATCTTCCCTGCCAACAGGAGAGCCTCACTGGGGAACTTCTCCTCACCAAGCAATGTTAAAGTAGGCTGGTGTTTTGCCTTCCCTCCCCCCATCAGTTCAGGCACTCCACGAGGAGCAGGACCCTGAATAAGAGATTCTAGTTCCCTATTACATCTGCAAGGTTTGTGGTGAGACATGACCCATCACCTCCTCCTGCCTCAGTGCTGCAGGGTCGCCATCAGGAGCCACGCTGCTTTCAGGTTGATTTGCATGCTAAACTAGCACTTGGACTGAATCCTGTGCAGTCCAGAGTGTTTTCCTCATATGAGCTAGGCCTCCACTAAGAACTAGTGGAACGTGTCCTGGTGTTCCTGAATCTAAGTGGGTGGACCTTGAAGTTTTTTGTATGGTCTTCACCTTCAGAAGTGCAAAAGCTTCTAGGAAAAATACCATCTTTGGTTTTGAGTACTGGTGTTTTTTTCAAGTGAATAAGCGTTCTGACTCTTTCATTTTATTGTAGGCATTTTCTCAGCAAGCCCAAGATTTGGATCGTTACCTAAGGTAGCAAGTAAGTTGGACCTAATTCTCAAATGAAAGGAAAGGTAACTTACAGGTGATCTGCAAACCTCCAGGAACCGCACTTTCTTGTGAACTGCAAACGTAGCTCTCTGGATCTCTTTTCAAACTCTTCCCGTTTTGGAATTTATGGGATGTTACCACAGTGCTTTAGGAAAGCAGAATTCTGCTGTGTTTAAAAAAAATAGAAGTATTAAGGTTTTTTGAACGTGAACGTTTTCAGTAGCAGTTTATATGTGTTTGCGCTATCCTCTCAAATATGGCGAGAACTCAAATCTCATCTTTATTTTATAAGCAGCGTCAGCCTGGTTGATCTGCCATGCCTAGCAGACGACACAGCTAACGTATCGAGGAACCATCGTGGTAGAACGTGTGTTCCTTTTCATACGTTCATTATTTATCGTAACTGGCTAGTTTAGGCCCAGGTTGCAGAAGAAAGTAGGAACAAAATGCAAACAGTGTAATATAGTCATGCCACTTCTCAATATCAATTTCAATAGTGTATTCAATACCAAGAAGCAAAGTTTGTGTTCCTCTGAGAATGGTTTTGTTCGGCAGAAAGTTGTGGATGCCTAGGTAGTAGTCTGATTCTGTAACGAGTGGAAGGCTGAAGTTCTGGCTTCTTTGAAATCCTGGGAAGATAGAGTTGGAGTGGTGATCATCAGAAATACCACAGTGTACATAAAAGGGCAAGAGAACTTAGTGCTGACATAGTGATTGAATTTCACTGTGGGCTGTCTTTGCAGTCTGCTGCCCTGAATCTGGAATCTTGTGATTCCAGCTGAATGTGATAGCCTTTTCCTGCCTGCGTTGTTTTGGACCAGTTGCTGTGTTTCATGGTAGCTAGCTGGATGTCAATAGTAAGTGGAACAATCCCTGTGGTACAGTATAACTCTACCTATGGTTGTGAAGTGTTTAGAGAAGATGAGTTGCGTACGGTTCATTGTACGATTAAAAAGGAGCCAATTACAGGCTCCTCGTTTGAGCTCATATATGAACGATCTTTTGTGATCTGTCTTGACAGTTGCCGGCGTCCTGGGTTTTGCCGTTGGAAAGATGTCATACGTAGGAGAATGCCAAAAAAAGTTCCAGAAAGCTGGTATTGTACCCTTTGGTCCATCAAAGAAAAGGTTTGTCTTTATTTGCATCACTAATCCTAAATCAAAATAGTTTTAAAAATAGAGTAAAAAGGAGATGTAGCAAAACCAGGTATTTAAATTCTGTGCTCGGGGCACGAGGTACTACTCCTCTCTCCTTAAGTTGTTATATGGCAGTATTGGAAACTACCACATAATTCTTCAGAAAGAGAATTTTAAATTTTTAATTTTAAAAGTTACTTTTTAACTGTGGTGGAAGAGTAGTTACTGGTTCTCTTTTCGTCTAGTATTGTGCCTCTGAAGCGTCTCCCCATCTTTACCACTTAGCCCTTTGAGTCTTCCTTTGTACCATACATCAGGCCAAACGTACTGCAGATTTTTTTTCTTGTTTTTTTAAACAGTATCCCTCTATGTCAACAATAATTTCAACCTCAACCCACATTTCAGCCTCCTCCTCTGTGGCTCTGTCCAGCCTCACACTGCTATACCAAACCATGAAGACCATAAGCTGCAAGGGTATTTTTTCCCCTCACAACTCTAACCCTATCATGGATCTTCCCACTTGCTTCCTGTTACCTGTCACCTCCAGGTTCTAGTTACTGTTTTCTAAATTTTGTGTAAAGTATTCTTTCCAGCCAAATCACGCCTTAGCTTCTTCCTAACCTCCTCGTTTGGTTGCCGCTGTTGCTTTTTGTTCCCAGTATGGCTTCTCGTATGCACCTCTCATGTGCAAAATGCACTTCCAAAAGCCCTACCTACAAGATCGTTCCCCTCTCTGTATTTGCGTCTTTCCCTCAGGCCAGCCTAAGCTTTTATTCCTATGAAAATGCCTAGCTGATAATGGGAAGCTTCATTGTTTATGTGTCAAAGCAATTTTTATATACTGTTTCTACTTCCACGCTTTTCCAAACAGCAGAGCTACTACTTTCCTCGCATGGTATTGTGCACAGGTGCCTGTGTGTCACTCTTAAGTGTTCTTCCGCCTGCTCCTAGCATGTGGTTCGTTGTTATTGATATGGCAGGGACTGTCTTTTCCTGCTTAGAAAGTCCTATTATACTCTGATGATTGATGGAAACAACTTACAGGTAAGAATAATAATTAAGGAGTTTTATTGGTTTAGACATTTGGATCATATTTTTCAGTTTCCATCCCATAAAACAAGTTACGACAGTTGGAGAACATAAGCTACGGATCACTTTGTTTTGGGACACTTGCCAGTGAGCCATCTGGTTATATTGGAAGAAATCTAGCAAACTTCTGGAATATTTTATTTGCCTTCCATGTTGTAGGCATTGTCATCATACCTGCAAAGAGTGCGAAGCAAAATCGGGATCAAATGAGAAAGGAGATCTAATGCCTTCAGCATCTTAATGCCTTAGCCTCAGGTAGGCATACTTGAAACTTAAAAGAAGTTCTTATTTTCTTTTTCGTGTTGAGTGGTGTTCCTTCTTGAAAGCTTTGAACAACATAGTGAAAATCACAGATTTGGTTTAATTAAAATCTGAGGATTATTTGCGGAAGTCTTCTCTAGCTGTGGTTTGCGAACAAAATTTGTTTCTTCATTTTTACCTGATATACCTTTTGTGTTAATTGTAAATCCCCCATTTCTGAGGAATTTCTGATTTAGCTGCAGCAGTCTCAGTAAGAACACTGTTAATGCAGCTCATTGGAAATCATTTGGGTGGTTGGACTACTTGTATGAAAACAAATATAACTCCTTTCTCTTTCCAACTTTTGTTTCTTAAGAATCAAATAATTATAGGTGATGTTTATATTTTTAAAAGAACACTGAAATACTGAGATTCTAAGAGCAGGGACAGTTGGGGGTGGGTTAGTTCGTTTGTTCATTTTTTTGGCAGTACCGTTCTTTGGCCGCAGCCGTAGTGAGGGCGATATGAAAGGGATGCTATTCAAGGAAGACCTGTGGGTGCAAAATGGAAGAACAGCCAGCTGTGGAGTGGGCAGAGACAACCCACGTGATCTTTTCACCCTGAAAAGGGAAAGTTCCCCTTGAGAAAAAGGAAGGTTTACAGGATAGAAGCAGGGGAGGTGTTTAAAACCACCTTCACTCTTTGCCTATGAGAAACAAGCCAGCAGCTGGGCTCTTTAAAAGCATTTTCCCACATTCTGCTTGGGGTAAGCTGGCCTGCATTCTCGCCGGCAGGAGAATATGTGAAAGTGTTTGCAAATAGCTTGGCGCTCTCGAGCAGGGGGAGAGCCAAGGGCCAGTCTGAAATCCGGCCATGCGAGTTTGTCACGGCTCTGGCTGTGGCTCAAAACAAAGTTCAATGCCGAAATGGTTGAACTGAGCCTCTCGGGCCCACGTTACGTAGGAAGTGAGGCAAAGGTGCTGCAAATGGTCCCTTTCTCGCTCTGAAGGATATCACTGTGGCCAACCTGTAAGGAGGAGTATCCCGCCAGAACCGGTTAGCTACAAGGAGGGAAGAACGCGGGATGCCACAGGCTCCTGCAGTAGATCCTGGAATTTCTGCTGTAGGACCTGTTCCAGCTCAGATGCTCATCAAAGATCTTAAGTGGCTGACAGAAGAGTGGCAATTGGGTCTTGCTGTCTGCTCCTTTTTGAAAGGTCTGGAGAGCCTGTTCAGAAACATAGTCTGAAAACAAACGCAAGGCGAGTGGACTTTTTTCAAGGAAAAAGCCATTATATTTGGGCCAACGTGGTATTTTAAATTTAGTTGGAATCAGTTTGGACAGACAGGTTTTTGAAATTTAGGAAAATGAATATTGTAAGCCTGGGTTGTTTTCTGTATTGCTAAACAATGAAAGTAATAACCTCGTAACCTCTTCAACGCTTTAATCAAAATTCTTCATTTAGCTTTATGCATTATAGCGTAGCGTGCTTCACTCGTTCTTCAGGTAGCGCGCTATAAGGACGCACAGAGACCCTACTGAGTGTCCTTCACCGCTACCAAGCTAAACGTGCGTTCCCAAGCTCTGGCATTGCCTAGGAGGACAGCCCAGTTAAAATCATGCTCATACTGAGGAGTCCAAGGGTATTCTTTTATCCTCAGAGACGCTGCAGAGCTCTCAGAGAAACCGCTAGGAAGCCGTCCGTTTTCTATACAAAATAAGATGGCACTCAGCTTAGTGCTTTAAATAATGTGTCCTCTCATCCGATGTACAGATGCGGTGAAGATGATGACGATCCTGTGAACGAGCTGCTTCTTACAAGCCTTCATTTTGCCAAGAAGAAATCAAGTCTTTGATTTGGTGTAAATTGGCTCATTCGGAATTGTTGCATCATGTTTGCAGTAAATACCACTTTCTTGTAATGCACTTTTTCTCCCCTTTCTCCTCTCTCTTCTCAGCATGTTTTTTTTCCTCCTTTGAGTGCAGTTTAGCTCTTAGTGCTGAGAAATTAAATTTGTCTGTTGTACTTAAGATGCCAGTGAAACTTTGTGTAGCAAGCAAAATGCCATAAGCTGAAACATTGGTCTTCTACATCAAAGGAAAGAGAAACGTCCCCTTTGCCAGGGATATTAAAGTATGCATCACAGTCCGAAAGAGCAAGAAAATACCATACTTCTGGACAATTGGTGGCCTGCACACAAGCCAAGGCTAATTGATAGAGCTAGACAAAAAACTAGATGGCATGCTCACTGTGTAGCTCAAGAAAGCAGGAGCAGACACTTCCCCCTAGGCACAGTGATGGTGTTTACTTGGCAATCCAGTGTACTGCTGTTGACAAGTTAGGGCTTCACTGTCAGTTGCTGAAGACTTTCCTCTGTTTTTGTTATTGCTATTGGTTTTTAAACTATGCCTACTGTTATACCCGTCTTTTTGGGTCAGTTTCTGGGGGCTTCTTTAGCAGGAACAAAGAGACTGCCAGCAGGATATATATCACTTAGAAGTGCAGAGCCGTTATTAATTGGTTGCCCCACACACACACACAGCGCAGCTGGGATGTAACACACGAGCAGACTAAGTGCTCACTGTGCTTACCAGGCACCTGAAGACTCTCTTATAGCCAGGGAGGCATCAGCCAGGAGGGCCATTAACACACACAGGAGACGGGGTGGAGGGGGCTGCATGTGACAGAGGGCTGTCCTTTCACGTCAGACTCCCCCAGGCTGTTACCTGCTGGAGGGGACTGAGTGGCTGAAGATTAATTAGCTACTTATTCTTGCTTTAAATGTAACCTTGTTCAGGCTTCCTATTATTTTGCTGTAATAAATTTACTGCTGTATAGAAATTGGTGTCTCCTGTTTTCTAAGTCGATATCCATACTGTGCAAGAGGCAGTACTCCGATTAGCTGATTGTATTGATCCGAGTTCATGAGTTACTGTGGTGTAGTTATGAAAAAAGTTATTTTCTGAATGTTAGGTGTATTAGCACTATATTAGCGTACATCAAAGAAAAAGTGAGCGCAAGTTATGAGCAAACCCTTCTTCAGAAGGTCTTTAAAAGTATCTCTCTATCCTTTGGGGAATTTATGACTGAATAATTTTTAAGTCCTTCAAGTGTCAGGCTGCACACACATAATACTACTTGATTTGGGAAATAACAGGGTTGTCCTTTATTTTTTTTCTTTTTTGGCAAGATTATTATTTAATACTGTTAAAATACAGGTTTCCCCTGCACTGCTTTGACCAGCCAAACCATTTCTGGTCAGGTGCACAGTTGGGCAACGAGCCTTCGTAGTGAGATACTAATGATGTTGCAATATTTCTTAAACATTACATGATTTAAAATGTTGGAAGTTAAGTGTAAGTTAAGTGACTGTCCCAAAAGCACCAGCTATAAAAGGACAGGGAAGACTCACAGCGCGCTCTGTAGCACGTTGTTTACTTTCATAAAATTGGAGCCAAGTGACTTTTACTGTGCTCTGACTTACAGGGGTGTTGGAGTTTTCCTGATGCCTGGAAGTATATTCTAGAGGTGGAATTGGACAGATGCTGGATTTTTTTTTTTTTTAGGAGTGGATAGTTTACAGTCCCTAGTTAAACTCTTAAGCCCCTTAAGATTTGATAAGGAGATATGCAAAAACACTGTCTAAGTCCCAAAAGAAGATTTAGAGGAACACAAATGTTTGGAGTGTTGGTAGTTATACTGCATGACTCAGAAAGGACTATTTAAATGCATACGGATTATTTTACATTATAATTTTAGGCAAAGGAGGGACAGGAAGAGCTGGAAAAATTTTGCTCACCTTAGGTGTTCTCAGAGCCAGCCCCTCAGGATTTTTCTACTCGGGAAGATAAACTGATGAACAGGAAAGAGCGCGCTGAGAACTGTGAGTGAGTACAGCCGTTTTGTAGCAGTCGTGCACAATGTCGTGAGCTGAACTGTGTTGACTCTTCCTATGATAGTGTCAGGACAAGTTGCTGAGCTGGATGCATTCCATGCAAGTCAGTTAAAGAATTTGTTTTTAACAGAGGAGGAAATTAGGGACGATCTATTTCAAAAACATAAGGCAGAGGGAAGTCTGTCTCGGTAATCTTTATTTCAGTCTGGAGTAAGAGGGAGAGAAGCTGCAGGAAGAAAAAAAGAGCTGATCCTATAAAGGATCAAGCATTGTTTATATGGTGCTAAAACTTTTCTTAGTATTTTTTCCCTGTAATAATAGGCTATGTATTCCCTTTTGGCAGGAAGACGCTACAAAAAGGTTAGAAAATCAAATGAACCTATATAGACAGGCTCCTAGTGAACACTTATATCTGGAAAGCAAAGCTTACTTTCTTCACCCAGAGACTAGGGAGTTTTTAACTCTGTGCTTATGGATATAACGGCTTAGTGGAAGTCCATAGCCCAGAGAGAAACAGAAGTGTTGCATAGCTGAGTGCTAAAATCGAGAAAGAAAATACAGCCTTCAGCTGCAATGCACACAAAATGAATAGCTTTACGGAAGCCTCAAACCGCTTTAGGCAGTCTCATGAACAAAAAAAGACTTGAGGGTAGAAGAGGATATATACATATATATATAGTGACATTAACTTCAGCTGCAATACATTGTTTTTCTTTGGGGACTTTCCTATTAGCTGTTAGAAATCATTTCACAAATATTGCATTCAGTGCAATTTAAAAACAAAATAAAGGGGGGGCGGGCACAGAATCCAGCTTCTGGCATAAGACTTGCAGTAGTTCTGTATCTTGGAAATACAAGGCCACTTTCTTTAGACACTTGGCTTTTGTAAAGTTTTCCCAAATGTGTGTTTCATTTGAGGAATCACCTCTGAAATAGCTGGATTGGTAGAGTCCTAAATTGCCATGAGTATGGGACACCTACGACACATGAAAATTCCTTACAGCCTTCATAGAAGGATATCACGCCTCACAAATCTGTTAGTGTTTTTTGAAAGTGCAGATGTGGAGACAGAAACCTAGTCTGTATTGTGCATGTGGGTGGGTGGGTTTGTTGCTGAGATCTGGGAGTCATTTTACATAGTTTTCTGAAAACGTCAGATCAGTGGTCTGCGACAGCCAACAAGCAAGTAGAACATTGAAAGTGCTTAGGGGAAAAATGAGGGGGAAAAGCAGGTTTATACTACAGAGCACTTCTGTGACATGTCCATATCTTGAGTGTTGCAGCACTTCCAACCCATCCCAAAAAGTTTGCGAGACAGCTGAGAGGCGGAAAAGGGCGGGGGGGGGAGAACAGGTATGATCGGAGGTACAGAATGGTTTCTTCCCAAGAGATTAAACACAACCCTCCAGGTGGAAAACAGCTCAAGGGAAGAGGAGGAGTATGAAGTCTCTTAACATCAGGTAAGGGAACAATTAATTGCCGTTTTTCATTAAGACGACAGACAACCAGTCAGCACTCAGTAAACCCAGACTTAAACAGAAAAGCAGCACTTAATACAGCACCATTACGTGATGTAGCTTATTGCCACAGGATACAGCGGAAACAAAAAAGGGGCACCACCCACCCAGAGAATTGGTGGCTATGAAGAGGCGATTGGTGGCTATTAAACATCTAGATTTGCTTGGTCAAGTTGCAAATTTTGGCTCAGAAAGCACTTAACTTCTTGTCGTAGGAGGACAGAAGGACATACTAGTGGAGGAGCTCTTTATTCTTGCCTATAAGCTCTGCCGAGTGCCGGCCAGGATGACCATTATACTGAGTCTAATGTTCTTACAGCTCTTCAAGAGCCAAATGAAGAGTCCTGCCAGATGAAATAAACCACAAATGTAGCTAACAGCTAAGAACAGCGGCTGGAAAACCTCCATGTGCAGAGAACAGAAGATTCAAGATTACTGAGAAAACGCATCTCAAAACTCTTTTCAGATTACAATCGGCTACCTTTCCCTGCAGAGGAAGGGATTAGGGTGGGAAGGCAGTGTTTTTCCTGTTGTCTTTCTTTGACATTCAGATTTTCTGAGGGCAATAGCACTTCCAAAGCAGATGCTAGAATCTTGCACACACACACACACAAAAAAAAAATACTCGATCGTTTAAGCATTACCTCTCCAATATGTGCACTTTGAGCATTCAGCAGCCATGCTATCCAGGTTAGGCACGTTGGCAAGCTCAGGTAGGTCAGAGCAAGAACCAGTTTCAACTCTTCATCCCAGAGGTGTATTTTAAACCTACCTGTCATGCGCATCAGCTGTAGGCTGAGATCTGCTACAACTGACCTGCACAAGCCCAAACTTATTTCCTGCTACAGAGAGGCTCGTCAGATGTGTAATATTTCAAAACACAGCCCGAAACCTTATCTGGCAGCAAATGCTTGTCATTTAATCACTTCCATTCCCCCGACTAGCTCTGTGAATCAAGTAGATTGTAATAATCGCAGACGTTGCCTCTGGCCGTTGTTAGACACAAAGCCTACCCTTGTCTAGGCAGGGGTTTCACGAGCCATCGCTAAGCAGCTGGCAGCTCTTGCCGGCCCACCCCCCCCCCCCCGCCCAA